GGTAAGACGCTTCTGATTTGGGGTTTTCATGAGCTGTAAGCCATAATCATCTTACTTATGACACATCACGGCTTGAACTATCTTGCTTTGCATGTAATGATGCAAATGTCGTATTCCTCTTGTCAAGCCGCTCCTGAACAACAAACAACATCAGAAGCGTCTTACCTGGGCTAAAGAAAAACAGAACTGGTCTGTTGCTAACATTTGTTAGACCAACAGCTCTTAAAATAACATGCTGCTACATTTTAACACAGTGCCAGGACTGAGCATTTCCAAAGATATCAAAATCATAAATCTATATTTTATACAGCTTTAATAAGTTATATCTGTACCAGTTTTAATCATTTTATATACATATGTATGAATGTTGTCAAGGAATTCAGAAGTTCAACTTACTTTATTTCTTTTATTGGTATATTAATTTGCCAGCCAGATATTCTAACAGAATTAAATAATGTTGCTGTTAAGATTTTATAAACTTCCTTGCTTTGAACACATATACATTTAAATAGTGTATACACAGAAATATGCACTTTAATAAGATTTCCTATAAGAAAATATACTACCTTGATATATAATATCTTACTATCTAGATAAATAGAGTATATTCTTGCCTTAGAATAATATAATATATATTATATTATAGCAAGCATATAGCAAGAAAGTACCTTACATGATAAAATATAATCTTCAAGCCACTTTAATTGTACCCTTTTAATTCTTTCCCAAACTCATAATCTACTATGTCAGAAAGAAGAGACAGGATCCACTTACCCAGCTCTCCTTTCTAATATATGTCTGAAGCCATGCCCCATGTTCTAGCGTTGAAAAATCACAGATGGGAGTTGGCTATACTGGTGAAAATTCCCCATTTACTCTAGAATAGTAATGGTATATGAAAACCTCTATAGGAAGTGCTGGTTCTTTTACAAACTAGATCCAGGTTTGATGTATGGAGGTTGACAGGACCTGAGGAGGGTTGAACATCCACAATGGGGAAATGTCTATACTTGCAAAGACTTCCTATTTTGCCTTTGAATGCTGATTGCATACAGTTGTGATTGTATGGAGAGCAATATACACATGACTTACACTATATTTTTTTAGTTTCAACCTGGTCATAAAGAACTTAATAACAGTAGGAACAGGGAAAGATTCTTTTTATTTCCCCAAATAATAGGTTACATGTGAGAAGGACTAGTTGTTATAAGATTATGCCAAAGTCTACTTTTGGTTAATTTGAGACATTTGCTGATCTATGAAAAAGATACTCCCTAGCAAAGGGTACAAAGGAAATCCCTTTTCAGCTTAACTTTGTCAGGTTGTGTCAAAGCATTGAGTTCATCCTCCAGTCTGTTACTTAAGACAGGAGAAAAAAGTTTAATGTGCAGGAATAGCATTTGACATTCACAGACATTTTTGTTGATGATTTTTAAAAGGCTTATAAAATTTTTGAATGCTTTAACATTGCAATCCCACTTATCTGAGAGTAAGCTCCCAGGAAATTAGATATGAGAATCCTTTGTTGGACTGTATACTTTTAGTTTTGATGATTTTCCAATTTTTTTCAGTGATTAAAAATGATTCTTTTTTAAAGCTACTTCCAGAACCTCTTTTTTCTATTTGCCTGGAACAATTTTTCCACACACGTGGGGGGGGGGGGAAGGGATGTGCAACTTAGATCCTTCACATGCACAGTTTACAGTAAGGTTCACACTCCTATGAGAATCTAAAGCCTGATGATCTGAGTGGAGCTGGGGCAGTGATGCTAGCATTGGGGAGCAGCTGCAAATACAGATGAAGCTTTGCTTGCTTGCCCACTGTTCACTTCCAGCTATGCAGCGCAGTTCCTAACAGACCACAGATTGCTACTGGTCCATGGCCTGGGGGTTAGGGACCCTTGCTTTAGGGTGAACATATATGGAAAACAAAACAAATCAAGCATTATGTTAACTGTAGCTTGATTTTTTAAAAAATGAAATTAGATATCTATTTAAAAAGATGAAGACTGGTGGGTCTTCATGCCATTGCTCCCCATGTATCTTTGATTAGCAAAACTAACCTCACAGTAGCCTTGAAGTAGATATCATGTCGGGACTCACTCATACAATATTTCTCATTCACAAAGATACAGCTGAAAGGTGAGGGAAAAAATCAGTAACAGCCTCTGTTGGATCGCGCAGGCAGTAAGACACGAGTCGAGTGACAGTCAGCTCTTGGTTTATTGGCAAGGCATAAAGTAAATCCGGACTGGCTCTCTGGGCCAGGGGAGCCCTCTTTTATGGGATTCCCCTGGCTTGTAATCACACAATTCCATTGGCTGGCAAGACCCTGTTGCTAGTTAGCCAACCAGCAACGGGCA